GAATCGAAGCACACTGTCTGGCACATCCAGACAATGGAATAACACTCAGTGATTAAAATAAAATGACATGAAAGAAATTAATTCCCATTGCTGAGTGCAGACGCCAATTTAATGATGTTCTATCCTGTATGGTTCAAACTATATGACTTTCTGGAAAGGACTAAAATGTAGAGAAAGTACAAAGATGAATAGTAACCGGAGGAGAAGGAAAGGAGAAATAAATAGGTGGCAAAAAGATACTTACGTAATGAAACATGTTTCTATAATAATGTGATGGTAGGTAAATGTCTTTAAATATTTATCATAACATGGTGGTGGGTATATGTCTTTAAATATTTGACATAAACTGTGAACTTTAGTTAATAGAAACTAGAGCAGTATTGGCTCATCAGTTGCTATGAATGTGTCACACTATTGCAAGATTTTAATGAGACCTGTGTGTTGGGGGTGAAATTGTGTGAAAGACTAAATAGGAATGCTGCACTTTCTGCTCATTTTCCTCTAAACTCAGCCTAACAAAGAGCACATTTTAAAGAAAATGTATTGTATTGAAATATAGCTGAAAGTGCAAAAATAAAGAATAACCAGTGAAACTTACTACTTGGTCAGCCATTACAGTAATCCTTACTGTACCCTTAGGTTATTAACAAATGAACTCCACTAAAAAATCTTGACTGAACCTCCAGCATTCCTTTGCTGATTTCCTTTGTGGACAGAAGAGTCAAGAAAGACAAGGAAATCCTCCCTGGTGCAGGGATTAAAGACAGCACTATCAAACTATTGCTACAGGAGTTCCATAACCCTCATGGCACAGAAAACCTCTCTTGTCTCACCTGCTGTTTCCCTAAGCAGTATATTTCAGTAGATTTGCCTATTCTGCTCCCTACTCTCTGTCTGGTGAATTGTCTCACCCCCCACAACTCTGGCCTGTATCCCAGTTCTTGTATGCATAAATAAATAAATCTTAAAAAAAGACAAGGACTAGACTACCTTTGGCACTGTGTCACTGAGATAACAGAACAATTTGACAAAACTCAGTGTTTTTTTGATGTCCTCTCTAAAATCCCTACCCAAAGCACCAAAAAAGACAGATGGTTTTTCTAGAACATGAGCCTGCTCTTTCCCAGAAACACTGCTCTTGTGAATAAAACTTAGCTTTCCTACCCCAGCTCATGTCTGTTATATTTGGCTCTGAGTGGTAAGTGGCTGGAACTTGTGCTGTGTGACACAGATTGTCCAATTTGATTGTTTATGCTATCATTGCAGGGCAATAGGACATTTAAAATAATTCAATAATAAAACTCAGATGCCACAAGATCTTACTCCAGACACACCCAATCCTCAAGAGTAGTAAGGCAATACTTACTGGAAATGTAATAAAGGAGGGAGAAAGAGAAAGAAGCTTCATAAACTTTAATACATAATACCTCTCTTCTTTAGGGCAAAGGGTCCGATTTTATATTACTAGATTTTCATCATTATAAGATTTTTATGTTTTGTAGTTTTCAATACACTTTCACTTACTCTGGGTTCCTAGTCACACACAGTGCTTTATCTGGTCCCCGCTGCTTAGGAAGCTCAGTGCATTTAGAGCACTTAGTGTCATTTCTTTAGGCCCTGCTATCTATCATTATACCATTTCCTGCTCCTCTCATTCATGTTTACAATTCTCTTTAATCATAGAGGTTGTGAGGCTTAATATTGTGGTTACTCATTGAATTGGATTAATAGAACTAGAAAGGAATTTTAGAGATTGTCTTTATTAAAAGATTATTATATAATTACATAGGGACTAATACACTGAGGTCCGGAACTAACTGACTAGAGAAATGAACAGAAAAAAGGAACTTCTTCCCACTACCCAACCTCACTTCATCTCCTCAACCTAGAAAAATTATTTTAGAAATCTTGAAATAAGATTCTCCAGCCAAGAAGTAAATATATTAGAACATTCTTCCTAACTTCCTAAATGGTGTCTTTGCTTCCAGACACTAACATATCCCATCATATTCTCAGCACTTTGTTGCATTCTTATAACCACATTTTACCTGGAAGTTTCTGTTCTTTATCAAATCTAAAGCATTATACCTGGAACTTCAGAGAAAAATCCATAAAGATACAGACTTCTGTGTAAAGCTCAAGCCTCTCAATGGACAATTTGTTGGACTCCATAATTTGATTCTTCCCCTCTCTCTATAATCATGAAGCTGATATCATTCAAAAACATTCCACTCGCTGTTCTCCATTTCCCAGAACACCTCACACAACCTTTTATTTGTGTATCTTTTTCATTCTGTTTTCTGGAAATGCTCTTGACTTAGTAGGGGTTTCAATGAAAGAATACTACAGACTGGGTTACTTATAAATACTTATAAATAAACTTTTGTTTATTTGTTTGTTTGATTTTTAGTTAGATGCTGGAAAGTCCAAGACTGATGTGTCAGCAGATCTGACACCGTGAGGCTTCCAAGTCACTTCATGTGGCAGAGAGGGGAAAAATCTCTAGGGTCTGCTTTATGAAGGCACTGATTCCACTTATTAAGGCTTTGCACAGGCACATGATTTTATCAGTTCCCAAAGTTCTCATCTCCAAATAACATCACATTAGAGATTAGCTTCCACATATAAGTTTGCTGTTTATTGGGGGACATAAATATTCAGCCTAGAGTAGTCCATAATGTAGTGGGCATTATAATAATATCTCAAGGCACGGATAAATTTTTCCTATTCCCTGAAAGTCTTGATTTGAATGTCACAAGATAATTTAGCTCTTCACTGAATCCCAGTAACATTTCTTATGAGTAGTATTCATTCAGTCCTTTGTGAAATTATCTTAAAATATTTAATCAATGATTATTTATTTTACCTCTTAAATTAGGCTAAACTTCTGAAGGCAGAGATCTTATCTATAGTTATATCACTGTGTTTGTACACAGTGCAATGTTCAATAAAGATTTATTTACAAGAATGACAGTTTTAGATGAACATCATAGAATTTGAAGACTTTGAATCTTCTGTTGTTAAAGTATGGGGAAAATTTCTTTTTCAGAATCCAAAAATAATGTATTTCAATGTTAGGGACACATTTGGAACAAAATCCAGATTCCAAGTGTACTATTTAGCTTTATGCAGTGAATGTCTGCCAATAATATTCTTAAAAAGCAAATCACTTTTGACTTTCTCCTTGTAAATTTGATAAGGATTATGACACTCAGGTTCCAAACTGAGATTCTTACATGAGTAATATCTATAGAGATTTTTTAACTTTTAAAAAACTGAAACACTCACCAAATGGACTATAGCAGAGGATTATATAGTTTTTATTTTAGGCATGGTGTGATACTACACTTCTGAAGAGGTGTGAACCTGACCACCTAAATCACAGAGTTGTTAAACATTACCTCAATAAAAAGAAAAAAAATATATACATATATATGATTTTGGCCCTCCATGGTGGTGTAGGAGGTTAAAGCACATCCCTAAGAAGCTAAAGCCACTTCAGCATGAGTTTGAATTCACCTGCCCTGGAGGTGATGCACATGGCATGTGTGGCAAACCTCTCCTGACCCACCCACTGCTCCACCCAGCAGTGTATTTAGTAGATCTGCCTGTTCTGCTCCCCATTCTGTCTCTGGTGAATCCTCTCCCCGCCTCTGCACCTCTGGACTATACCCCAGTTCTGTATGCACAAATAAATAAATCTTTAAATATATAAATGTGTGTATATATATATATGTGTGTGTGTGTGTGTGTATGTGTGTGTGTGTGTATAAATTGAAGAAAATAATTTGTATTCTTGTGCTTTAGATATTTAATTCTTGTTACTACTTCAGTCCTTCATATTATGTCTAGCCAATATAAATGTCTATACATATAGTTATGTATATATGTTTTACTTTACATGTATACAAACACACATAAGTGCATACATACATACATACATACATACATACATACATATACACACATTTATATAAACTCATGTCATATAAAATTTAAATTCCAGGTCCTCTACGAGTGAGAATTCTGGGCCTAATAATCTTCGTGCTTTAGTCTTGTCATACTTCCAACACTTCCTTGTCTACTAAACTAGATATGCCTATGATAATTTGCATATCTAGTCATAATTTGTCTACCTTAGACTAGATATGCCTATGATTATTCCACATATACACACACATACACAACATACATTTTACATACATATATAAATTCCTGAAAGACAGACATGTACCTATATTTTATATGCATTTATCCCATAGAAACGTGAATTGATTTATATTTTATGTCTTGTAGATGAATCAAACAGATAAATAAAAAGATTCAAAGCATGTCATAATCTTTAAAATTCTACTTTATCTCTGTTTAATTCTACTAGATTAGGAACCTTATAAACAAACCATGCTGTACTAATTTCATCCTCTAAGTATTTATATTGGTTCCTTTTTCTATAAAAAAAGTCTTTAAACTGTTTTTAGAAAGACCAATGTTGTGATGCTTTAACCAAATCCCCTAGTTATTTTAAATCCACGTATATTCTACTATATCCTAAATATTAAACACATTTAACTCTCACTTAATATGTAGTTTCTAGAATTCAACACAGCACTCTGGACGGACAAGTCCTTACTGCGACTTACAGGAAAGGATGGGCCTATTTCCTGATTGATTCAAAAACTATATCTCCTCAAGTATAATCTATAACTCTATTTGGCTTGTCCATCATCATATCACATTTGACTCATATTGAAATTAATATAAAAAAGCTCTTACTCATTTTCTAGCTAATATTGTGAACTAGGTTCCCTTTGTTCCATATTTGTGTAGTTGATCTCTCTATGAGGGAGGGGGATGGTCCTCATATTGCAGCTATAATCAGTGCTTCATATTTTATTTTAAATAGTGTTTTATTCACAAATGATAAACACATCTTGAAAGTTAAACACACACACAAAAGATTATTAAGGACAAAAACATACATTTGGAGACATAGAACCTACCTATAAAAACCTGGTGGCACCTGCTGTACCAAGAAGCTTTTCTCCATGCCTTGGAGGATGTCATTCAGCATCCGGACACGGATGGGGACCCTCTCCTTGGGGTCATTGGCAGGACGCATCTCATCTGACTGGAAGAGTCCAGCACTTTCCCGCAGGTGGGATGACAGGGCTAGCAGTTGGTGAGTATTGGATTGATCACCTGATAGAGATAAATGAGTCCATTTATGAAATAAATTTGTTCTTCAAGGAACAAAATAAAAAGTGTCACCAGGAAGAGTCAACATCAAATTTGAAAAATGTACTCATTCCACAAAAATATTCTATCAAAATATAAAATATGCTACCAGAAGGATTAAAGTGATCACTGTAATCATACTAATAGTTACATCTCCTAGAAATACCAGGAAGTGGAGAGATTGCCATGTTCCATGTCTCATATTCACCAAGCTTATTTTCATATCCATTTCACAGAACCTGAGAATTAAGTTAATTGTCATATATCATAAATCATATAAAGACAGACCAAAATAAGAAGCTTGATTTTCTGACTCAAAAATGCATGTCATTATGGAGTACACTGTATTTTTAAGAAAAAGAAAAGTAAAAGGAGTTGTTTTCTCTGCAAACATGAGATATGTTACTACATGTTATTAACTGTCATTGGATCCTTTCTTCTTCGATAGAAATTTCCAATAATTTGAAGCTAAAATACATAATTGATATGAAAATACACTGTTAGCTTTCCTAGGTATTATTTGCTTTTTTATACTTTGTGTTTGCAATCATTTTTGTTTGTTGTTGCTTTATTTTATATGTGTTTGGGTAATTTACTGACAGTCATTGTCATATGAAAAGTGGTAGAAAAAGGCTCACAGGACATTCCTTTGACTCAGAGAAGTTCAGTACTAATACTGTGATTGCAGCTATTAGACTTAGAGTCAGAACACCTGATCTCACACACCTGCTTTATCACTGAAGCTATGTGATTTTGGGCAAGTTACTAAGATGCAGTGTCTTCATCTGTGAAATTAACATAATAATGTCATCATAATAATGTCAATTACTGTAGAGTTTTGTTATAAAAAAACTAAATGATTAATACTTGTAGTAGAGTATTTCCTTACAGGTGGATAGTTCCCAGAATATATGACTTTATACCTTTTTAAAAAGCAAAAACTTGGTATAGCATGAGGCAGGCATCTACCATCATCTTCTTCCAGATATCTCCATCATTAGAGTCGCTCATAGGATAAGGAAAAGGTTAGTGATGTAATTCTAGGACACTAAGTAAAACTGACTCCATTAATGACAGTCTCTAGCACAGAGGATGGCATCAAGTAAAGCTAATGAAGGGAAGGTGAACCTAGTGAATCTTAGCTGGAAATCCTAGGGGCATTGCATTGAGATAGACATACAGCAGGATGAATAAAAGCCATATTGGACTTTCACTGGGAAAAATGAAAACATAAGAGATAGTCTCAACCTGAAGTTCTAGGGATACCAGCTTCCAAAAACTGGTCTCTGTGAAGCAAAATTAAATTTTTCAGACCTGTGGACTCTGGGGACAGAGCTCAGGAATCTCCATTTAATATACTTCTCAGCCTATTCCACAAATATTAAGAAGTACTGCAAATATGTAATATATTAGTAAAAGTAAAACTAGGCTAGAATTATAGCTGATATATAAACTCTGTTTGTTATAGAATTACCAGTCTCTAATATAACTATTTTTAGGATCTCTTGCCCCATTTGATAGGGCTATTTTCCATGTCATGTCTTTAGGTACCAGCCTTGTTCTGACTCAATAATAGTAACTGAATATACAAGTATATTTAATAACGTTTTTTTTTTTAAATCCAATAACAAAAGTGTGCTATGTAGAGATAAATGACTTTAAAGAGCATTACAGAGATGCTTCCTTTATAATGCTCAGATTACTGAAATTAACAATAAAATAAAGTTAATTATAGGAGCTTATGATTTTTTCTCATTTTGATGTTTTCAAAGTATGTCCCACATTCATTAACAATCTTCCTTGATTTCACAAGAAATCAACTTGAGCCTCAGAATTGAAATATGTTATTCCCTAAGAAGATCTAGTCCCTAAGTAACAACATTAAAATAACATAATATAATTTTATAATGACTTTTTTTTCCTTAAATTATGATGGTTCACCAAATTTCATCTATGGAGCACTAATAAGAAATACCTCTGCACAAGGAGAAAATAAGATGGATAAGGCACATTTTGATTACGCTGCTATTGAAAGACTGAACAACAGAAAAAGCGAGTTTGACATCCTTGAGAATCTTCCTTTTAAGAAAGAAAAATCTGTTTTGATATAACATATACTACAGATTGAAGACATTACTATTGAATCAAGTGATACAAATTGTACTATTCTATCTTATTTAGCCTTAAATAAAGTTATCTTTCATGATGGTGCAGATGCAGACACTTGACAGATTTAGGAGAAGGCTAGTTCCCGAAAGGTCCTAAAGAGTATAAACCTGCCAGCTACTGCACACCCTCAGCACTCATTCAAAGGTAAGAGGTTACAAATCAAAGAGTAGCCTTCATTTCAACACTCACTCAATCATTTTCATATATAATTGATGCTCCAAAGATTCCTAACAGACATTTCTATGCCAATTAGTTCTTGCTTGTGTCTTCAAATAAGACTCAGAAAACAATGTCACCTTCTCTATGTAAGTTCCTGTGCTACAAAAGATTGTTCTTTCCTGGTCTTTGGGATCTTTGGGATAGAATGTCAGCTCTATGAAGGAAATAATTTTGATTTGTTTTGTTCAAGGCATTTTCCCAGAACCTAAAATACTATCTGGCATATAGTTTAAACATGAATATGAAAAGGGCCTTCCTGGTGGAGAAAGTGGCTAAGTCTCAGCACCTTGTAGCTACTGGCAGTCACTGCAGCATGAGTTGGATCCTCAGCCTGGGAGATGACCCACATAGTATGGCAGAACTCTCATGTCTCACTTGCTGCTCGCCTCAGCTTTGTATTTCAGCCAATCCACCTGTTCTACTTCCCACTGTGTCTCTGGTGAATCCTCATTGTCACCCTAACCCCCAGCACCTCTGGCCTACATCCAGCTTTTATATGTATAAATAAATAAATAAAGCAAATATTTAAAAAGTAAATGTGAATTATGCACTTTTATCATAGCATAGTAACAACTGTAATGTTTTCATTCTTACTCGCTTCGTGTCTCTCCTTCCTTAATTGAAAAGTACCCACCAAATCAATTACTATGTTTCTTAATCTTTTTATCTCCAGATTCTGACACATACCTGGTATGTGGTAGTCACTTATTAAACATTATGAGTGATTGTTGAATTATAAGATAAAGATAATGTTGTATATGAAATATGTCATTATATTAAATAATACCTACAAAGTCACTCAGAGTGCTATTTGATGCATAAACAGAAAATAATTATGTCAATTACTTTCTTGTTTAAAAATGACAACAAAAAGGAAGAAAATAAAAAGAAAGAGGACTATTAAAAATAAAAACCAAAGGCCCTCCCTGCTGGTACAGTGGATTAAAGTGCAGTACTACAAGCAAGTCTCAGTCACATCAGTGTGAGTTCGATCCCCAGCCCTGGAGGTGATCCACATAGCATGGCAGACCTCTCCTGACCTGCCCGCTGTTCCCCTCAGCAGTGTACTTCCTTGATCTGCCTGTTTTGCTCCCCATTCTGTCTCTGGTGAATCCTCTCACTTACTCTGCACTTCTTGCCTGTACCACAGTTCTGTATGCATCAATAAATAAATCTTTAAAAAAGAAATAAAATTTAAAAAAAAAGGACTATTCTATGGTAATAAGTTAAATTAGACCAAAATGAATCAAAATATGCTCTGCCAAGAACCCATAGGAACTAAGAATATATAAAGCTTGACTTAAGATAAAGTCAAAGTCAGAGCAGAGAAGACTAAATAATTTCTTAACAGTTCAGGTTTAATAAGTGGTTAATTAATTTGAGAAAAGAAATGAAGTGGAACATAGAAATTTCTATCAGAGAGTCAACACATGAAGTTATTGAAGTTATATATATATAGGAGACTAAAGATCAAAAACTTGATATTAAAGAAAACAAAAACTGATAAAGTCTATTCTACTTAATTACTATCAAAGGTGTCTTCAAAGATTACTGAATCTTTGAAGTGATACAACTGTATCACACTTGTACGCATAAACCCTTTAATAAAGATTCTCAATTTTATTTTGTAGAGACAATAAGTCTGAGTCATTTTTTTCCCATAGGCTGTGATTTCACATCTCTGAAAAAAAGGAAAGGATAATATAAAATAAAGCATCAGCTAAAACTAACCCAGTAACAAACACTAGAGATCTGACTGTAGAGTTGAGGCTACCAGAGCAGGAAAAAGGGAGAGAGAATGGAGGGCACAGAGACTATGGGGAACACTGTAGATTCCTTGGTTGTGAGTGTTAAATTACATCTGAAGGATATAATCCTATACCTCTAAATCATATACAGTGTTAAAAACCAATGCTGCCTCAATTAAAAATAATGTTATGGGCCCCCCCTGGTGGCGCAGCGGGTTAAAGCGCACCACTAAGAAGCTAAAGCCACTTCTGCATGAGTTCGATCCCCGCCTGCCCCGGAGGTGACCACATGGCGCGGCAGACCTCTCCTGGCCCGCCCGCTGCTCCCCTCAGCAGTGTGCTTCATCGATCTGCCTGTTCTGCTCCCCACTCTGTCTCTGGTGAAGCCTCTCACCGCCCCTGAGCCTCTGGCCTGTACCCCAGCTCTGAATGCATAAATAAATAAATCTTTAAAAAAAAAAAAAGAATGTTATGAATACACAAGGATGTAAATGATATTAAAAAGTAAAAATATTAAAAAGCTAAACTCCGGAAATTTTAATTCTTTAATATCTCATAATAGTTCTCCTTGTGAAATTCCAATATTGAGCATTAATTGCCTAGCAAAACATGCAGATTTATGATGACTATTGAAAACTAACCATAATATAATAGAAAATAATTCAACATTAAATATAAAATTATCTTGGTATTAACCAAGCGACAACTGAAATGCACTTCTAAATTTCAAACAGAAACAGCTGCATTTTTCTTCTTCATCTCAAAGTAAAATATAATTTTCAGTAAGTACTTAGTTCTATTTCATGTTATTCTGTTAAGTGTTCAAGA